TGTGGTATGGAGTATTGAAAATATACAATGCAATCTGAAAACATTTTACTTGGAGCTTTCATACAATATTTCCAAAAACTTTCTAACAAAATTTATGATCTTTATGATTTATATATTGAAAATATATTTCACAAAATGTTAAAAAATGAAGCGCATTCACAAAAAAAATGTTTGCAAACGTTTTACTTAAAGCTTTCATCTAAAAGTTCAATAAGCTTCCATATAACTTTTTAAAAATGTGTATAATATCATATCATATTTATCATATCTTATAAGCCAAGCCATACTATCTTATATGTGTTTCTTCTTCTTGATTCATATATTACTGAAATGCTAAACGTTGTATAAATTCATAAGTATACAACCACCAAGTTTAAAAGCTTTAATGTGCTTACATGCCTGCACGCTTTAACAAGAAATTCTTGGTTTATTTTGTTGTCTTTCGCTGTGATTCACTTATCGTTAAGGAACTCATGCAAAAGCACTACTGGTGTTTACGGGGTTTCCTTTTAACTTCTTACCGACTTTCCGGCTCTTGTCACACATCCGTACTATTCACTAATACCTTGGCTATAAATTCAATTCACGCAAATCATATGTACATTTGCTGACAATGAGGCACATTTTAGATGGAAATGCATTTTCCGGTGACTGACGCGTCAATAAGTCGGTATATAACATATAAATATATATATTACATATAAATATACCGACTTATGTTGACGTCACGCACTTCTCTCTTGTTGTGACTTCTGCTTTTAGTCATAATCTCAGGCACTCGACATGTGTGCAGATGTTAATGCAGATATATGGTATTATATGCTGTTATGTAATACCAGTTGTACCCAGATCTGTGGATTTCATATTTACTGTCTCAGTAAAGACAGAAAACGAGCCAAATGTCAATGTCTTGAATTCTTATTTACGACATGTGCTCACAAGCTGAAAAGGAAATTAACGTATTTCCTGTGAAATGCAATGCTTGGTTGCTTATTTCAGTTGTATGTGAAATTCGGGTGATAAGTGTGTGTATTCGGATGCATATGAAGATGTAAATATACTATATATATAACTGTAGCTCATACAAAACATTTCTAACAAAAGTTATATTTAATTAACAATAGCTGCCTTCTCGAGCTTTAGAGAGTAGCGAAACGAACACACTGTATTTGGCGCTTCACTTTGGTGGGAAAATTATTATTTTTGCTTTAAATCAAATCTACAGAAAACCTTTGATTTCGAGTGGCGTCCATGTTATAGGCTTTTTATATATAAAATTTTATTTTGAATCTTAAATTGTGAAAATAATTAAGAAAATATTTATACGTATTTAAATTTTGAACAGAAAATTATCATTTGGGCCATACTACTGCAGACGGCTAACATTTTAGAAGCAAACTTTTTTGCTTTGCCGAACTGATACATTTATATATATATATTATTTATCAAAATTTATATATTTTTATTTAAGAAATGTGTATTCAAAGCGCTATATATTTTCCCTACTGCAGTAATTTTTGACATTTTTAAACTCCAAAGGTGCTACTTCTCTTATACATGCACAGATACATTTGTAAAGAAATTTCATTTACAACTCTTGCAAGCTCAATGTCCACGTGTGTTTCATTAAAATCGAAATTTTTAAAACCAATGAAAGTAAAAACTCAATAATATGGCAACTGCTGGCTTTTTTGATTGACTGCTCTTCACTGTCAGCTGACATGTTCTCTGTTCACAGTCAGTCAGTCAGCCAACTTGCGCAGCCAACCGACATATTTTTAATAAATATGTGTATACGGCGATACTTAAATAAGCACACCGCAGTTAAATCAAGTAATTATAAACTTTATACTTGCCAGCCGATTATTCTTTTCTTGGTATTTTTTATATTTTGTATTTCTAGAGAAAATCACAATTGCTAGATTTCATTCAGAAATACAACAGTCTCATACTAGTTACAAAAATATAAATCTAGTGAAATTTATATGCTTAGCAACAATTTCAATTTAAAACTTTTGCGAGTTCTTCTTTTTATTGCAAAATACTCATTCTGTCATGTGACTATGTTCTCTTTTTTTTTGTACAAAACTTGCAGCAAATCAATTCAAATCTGATTATGTTCTGACTAGTTTTATTTTGCGCAGGAAATTCCAATCATAAACCGTTATTTTTCTTGCCCAGCTTGATGCTTCACTGCCGTAGGCATTGTCGCCCTGTTTAAAGCTATGTGCTTCACACTTCTTAAACTCATTCATCTCGCCATTTTCTGCGTTTTCTGTGCTTGCATTCGGTTTGCCGTTTGTTTATCTTTTAGCAATTCTGTTTATTTAAGAAATTGCCATATTTATTTTGCCAATTTCTTGTTTGTTTTAAAATTTATAAGCCAGTGCGGATTAAACGTATTTTTGTAATGCAATACACACACACACTTACACTCACCTAAGTACCTATATATGTGTGAGTGCATTGTGTGCCAACGCCATCACACTTTTGCGCTTCGCTACTTTGCACTAAATTTCTGCGTAAATATTATCATTGTTAATTGACTCGCCGGCTGCTGCTGCCACTGCTGCTCGCGCTGTTCCTTTCAATACAAATTTGTGTGTGTGTGAAAGTGTGAGTATGTAAATAAGATATGCTCATTTACGCAGCGCATAATATTCACATAAAAATGACAGAAATCATATGAATAAATTATTTGCGAGGCAAAGTTTTAAATTCAAATTCGAGCTGAGTGGCAAAAGCTGCGCAAGCAACCCTGCACTTGCGCGACCGTTATTTTCAGTACGCTCTGCTATCTTCTGTTAGATTTTATTATGTTTTTATTGGATTCTTTTCTGTGCATTTGCATGGACTTCGTTTTCTTTTTGTAAGTGCGCAGGGTGTATACTGGCTATTCTTTAGGGATGCTCTGACATTGTAATTATAGTCGACACTTTTGTAAACTAAAATTTCTCAATGAATGAATATTTGTTATTATATTATTATACTAAAATACTTATATTCAAATTTTAATCTGAAAGTTGCTGCTGAAAAACTTTTCGCTTTAGTTTATTTTTTCATAAAAAAATAAAGTCTTTAAAACTCTTGCCTAAATGCAAATTTATATCTGATATGAAGCGATTTTTCTATTTAGAAAGTAGGCATGAACTATTTTTTTTTGCGTTTTTAAATAATATGCACAAGATAAAGGCATTTAAAGCATTATAAGTATTCAAAAATTATACTTACATTCAAGGCTTAAAAAGTTGCTTACTGCTGTTACAAATCATACCATAATTAAAACAAAGTTGTAAATTTACAAAAACGAAACAAATGGAGTACTCACTCAGCTCTGGCTGCAAGAGATGCTAGGTGCACGGAGCACGTGTTTGTTCAGTTTCAATTTCGTAGCTAAATTTGTTGCTTTTGTTATTTTGTGTAATGCAACACGCTGTTTGCATAAATTACACACGCAAAAACACAAAAAATTAAACACAAAAAAAAAAAACAAAGAAATATGCAGCACGTGTTGGCAGGTGTGAAAGTTAGAGCACTCAAATGTGTGCCGACGGACACATTAAACCATATGTATAAAGGAATATTTGCTGGTACAAGTGCCTCTTTGTGTGCGAAGTGTTAAAAATATTTCAATTTTATCATATTTCCGCCATAATATTCCGGACATAAATTTTAAATAAATAAAAAAGAATAAATTAAACACAAAAAGTGAAATTTCAATTTTATGAAATAAAATATATAAAATAAAATAAAATGATATAAAATAAATAAATTAAAATAAAATAACATAAAATAAAATAAATTAAAAGAAAATAATATAATATAATAAATTAAAATAAAATAATATAAAATAAATTAAAATAAAAATATATAAATAAAATAAATAAAATAAAATAATATAAATTAGATAATTAAATTAAATAAAATAAATTAAAATAAATAATATAAAATAATTAAAATAAATAATATAAAATAAAATAAATAAAATAAATAAAATAATATAAAATAAAGTAAATCAATTAAATTAAAATAACTAAATTAAAATAAATAAAATAAATAAAATAAAAATAATATAAAATAAAATAACATAAAGTAAAATAAAATAAAATAAAAATTAATTAAATTAAACTAAAATAAAATATATAAATTAAAATAAAATAATATAAAATAAAATAACATAAAATAAAATAAGTTTAAATAAAATAAAATAAAATAAATTAAAATAAAATAAAATAATATAAATAAAAATATATAAAATAAAATAAATAATAAAATAAATTAAAATAAAATAAATAATAAAATAAAAATAAGTAAATAAAAATAAAATAAATATAAAATAAAATAAAATTACATAAATAAATTAATTAATTTATTAAAATAAAATAAAACAACAATAAATGAAACATAAAAGTGAAGTTTAAATTAAATGAAATCAAATACAATTAAACAAAAGGAATGAACTAAATGACTTAAGTTCTTATACAGTGAAATGAGAAACAAAAAACTTTTTGTAATAAAAATATATTATTATTTATTTTACATTTATTAATTGTGAAATTACTGGACATTGTTGCATCAGAAGTGCACTTTAATTAAAAACAAAAACTATATACATATAGAGGCATAAAAATTAAGAAATTATAAATGAAACCGAACGAAATTAAATGAAAACTGTTTCAATTAAAAAAGTTGTAATCCTGCATGAAATAGAAAATACAAAATAAATTTTAGTCCAATTTTTAATTTTCACCTTTTACTAAAATTATAAATTTTTAGTCAACTAGAACTTGTATTAATAAAAATAATTCATAGAACTTTGCAAAAGAGAGTGAATTTTGAATTTAACACCAGAACTTAGTTGAAATTCAGCTCTAAAATAATATTGCCAAAAACAAAACAACTAAGTAAATAAATAAACAATCAAACAACACTCATCGGAAAAGCAACAGTGAATTAATTAAAACAAACAGTCGACTAAAGAAGCAGCAAAATTCAACGAAAGTTATTATGAAAGTGCATACAAAAGCGACTCAGTTGCAGTTTTTAATATTACAATCTAAAGTTAAAGTCAAAACAAAAACGTTGCGACAGCAAAAACAACAAGAAAAACAGCCACAGCAGCGGTTAATTAAATTGCTAAAGCAACAGCGGCAACAACAGCAACAACAACAACAACAACACTTGCTAAAAGAAACTCGAAATTTCGTTTGGACGACTGCAGCAGAAGCACTTGACGAGCAATCACAAAAACAAAAACAGTATCAACGCATCAACGAAGGTGAGCATTCTTTGCTCCACACAAAGCAAATTTCATTACAATTGCAACACAGCAAATTGGCTTATACAGCGCTGGCCGATTCGCTATCGTTGTTGGTATTGCAGCTGTTAGAATCAACGTGGCTGGTTAACAACGCAGTGCAGGAAAATAAATCAAAATTAAACTCTTTAAGACGGAGGGACTAACATTCGCATTGCTGGCGGGCCCCATGGGCCAGGCTGCAAGTATGTGCCGATTTCGTGGATGTCGCTACAAAAAGAATAAGTCAAATAAGAATACAGCAACAACAACAACAACGACAACAGCTAATAGTGCCACAACGGCTGCAACGGCCGCTACAACACCAACAAATACGGCGAACAGTTCGCCGGTATCAGGTGAGCAGAAATACCGTGCACCTCGTGGTTTGCTGTGTGCAACTTTCGTGATTAAACAGTTAATGAAATGCAATTGAAAATAACAGGGCATTAAGTTAAGATAAATGTAAGAGGGTAGCTGTTGGAATGTTTGTGGTTGAAGGGTTGAAGTTTTTTGGTCGCATTTGGATGGCAAAGAGTGGAATTTATAGTAATTTTTATTTCATAAAGTCCAAAAAAAGTTGAGATATACAAAATTTCCATGCGCTAAAATTTAATTACACTAAACTATCAGAAGAAAATCTCGAAGACCCTACAAAGTATATATGTCTATGTATAGATTTACCCATACCCGTCTCTCCGTCTGTATATACGCGAGCTAGTTCCTCATTTTTTGAGACGTGGACTTTTAGTTTCATTCATGAGTTAAGTGCAAAATAATAAGATTCCTTACTTTAGTACTTCAATTGTTGGTATTTTCACATAATTTTCAAATATTTAATATTTTCTTTGTCAAAAACGCTTAGTTCTCAAGTGTTGCCAACTACAGGTTTCTGGTAACAAATCCATTTTAAAAATTTTAGCATAGCATATAATTCATAGCTTAGTGCATAAATGATTCATTCTTAGCATTTTTGAAGTACTAATTTTGTCTGAATAGAAACATAGTGTAAACAATAGGTGCTACACGTCGTATGAGTAACATTTTTTAACAAAGCGAAATACACGTACATATGGCTTTAGTAGGTAAATTTATTAGGTATGTTTCATAAAACTTTATTTTTAATAAAAATATTACCTATGAGATTATTCTGGTTAATAAGAGCTACAAGTATACATTGCGTATGAGTAACATGAAAAATACAGTATCCTTACGATTTTATATACTTGTACTATACACCATAGGTATACTGGCGAGAAAATTTAATGTTTTATCTTGTTTAAGCTAGATTAAATGCTGCTCCTTGTCGTAGTGTTCTGTAAAGAATTTGTTCTGGCTTCAGAGATTTCATCAATTTTAGAGAAGCTGGAATTTTGTTTCTTTAATTGAGTCAAAATAATAATTTTGGCTGTGCTATACATTATTTTTTGGCAAATCTTACAATTTATACCTGATCTAGGCTAATTCGGAGTCAATATTATATAAAAATTGTTAAAAGTTTGATTTCTTAACTTTTTTTTTGCAAACTCGCGTTAATATTCAGAAAAACTATTTTTTGGCTCCCTCGCTTATATTTTAAAAGAAAAACTCATCAATAGTAAAATAATACGCAAAACCGCTAACAGTTGGAACTTTTAACAGGCTTGCCATATTATCTAGAAACTTCATACAAAATTTTATCTTATTTTCGATATTTTGGGCACAGTTATGTTTTGTTATTGTTTCTTTTTCGTAGATAAAATGGTATCTACGTAATTTTCTTAACAAAGTGTGTTTAAATTTGAATGCAATCTGATATTGCTCTGGCGTGCTCAACGCATTTCAATACTGCGCACTGTTAGTGTCTCTTTCATTTTTCATGACTAAAGACATTTTTGTCAGCGCTGCCAAGTGCACTTTGCTTTGCGTTACTAACTGTTATAATTTCCGTTTTATTTATATTTTATTAGAGAAAATAAAATTTAAGTGCAACGAAATGTAAATCGTACAAAAAGAATGAAAATCAACTGCTCAAATGTTTCAGCGCTTTGCCAGCATTTGTATGCTACTGCGTCTGTGTGTGCATTAAAGGGCACTACTAAAACGGCAAAGTGCTTCAAATGCCATTTCGTGAATATTTTGTGATATTTAAAAAATTCCCACGTTATACAAATATTTGTAGCATAAAAGTGGCACACGCAAAATCGTAAAAAGACCAACAGGATGTCACAGCGCGGAATGCCGCTGGCATGCATACATGGTTGCTGGTGCAAAAAAAGAAAACGAAAAAAGAGCTCCGTTACAGGATATGCGCTGACATTTACTTCAGCACAAATATGTCTCTATAAAATGCTGCATACAAAAAAGTTACATAGAAATAAACGTTAGTTTAACACGCACATATTCACACATACCTATGGTGATGAGAAAATGCAGTTATGTGCTTTGCCAGGACATTTTGGCTCCGGTGAAAGTGGTAGCCACAAAAACTCATGGAATATTTGAGTCTGTGTAATTTTTTTTTTTATGCAGTGCGAGATTTTCAAACGTTTTATTAAGTGGTTTTAGGATATAGTTTGGATGAAAACAGCACTTAGGAAAATTTTTAGTTTAAAGCGCTTCCAAAGCTCTATTAAGCTTTTACAATATTTTCAACGAGTAAGAAAAATTAAGTTGAATTTCTTGCTTTCAATCATTTTTAAGCATACAAGTATATTTAAGAGTACACATTTTGTATTGACATTTGATTCAAGAGTCAATTTACTGGGGCAAACGTTGGATTTTTTTTTTGTTAAACGGCTTTTAAGGGCTAGGGTGGTTTTAAGAGAATATGCAATCAGAAAAAAATATATAAAACGGTATCTTGATCTACATAAGGCTTGCAGTAAAGTAAGAAATTTTCTGCTTTATACCAATTTTTTTTTTTAAATGATGAACGTTTAAAAAAATTGTAAAATTTTTGAGCGGGAAAAAATTGTTAGTAGACTATTTATAATATAGAAAAATTTTACAATAATGACAAAATAGTACTAGATAGTGTTCTTTTGTGTAACATCTTAAGTGCATACGTGCTATAGTTACTGATTACCATCGTGACGTGTCGAATCAGACTGACCCGAATGATTTCACACACTGTAGCGGATTGGACTGGGAAATATTTTTTTTGTTTTCATTACTCTGCAAATTGAATAATATTTCTAAGACCCTAAAGTGTACTTTAAGCAAACAAAAAATCAAAAAATTCTAGATTGTCTTCACTGCTCTGCGTACTTTCGCTCAGCAATATCATAATTCAATCAAACTTTTACATATTCTTATTTCAACTGAGAGTCCGGCAATATTTATTTAAATCGGTCAACAAATAAATTAGATTTCTTTGCATCGAGTATGCTATTTTATTGCCATTTGGTTTGTAAAAATTATTTTCAACAATGACAAATATTTTTTTTTTGTCTGAAAAGTTTTGAAAAATAAGCTGGAACTAATTCCTTTAAGCTTTTTGATGAGATATATGCGAAAAAAACAACAACAAAAATGTATTAGCAGGAAATTTCAGATAATGAAACGAATGTGCATAAAGGTGCCTGTTGTTGTGATTATTTCAGATAACTAATTATTCTCTAGTGAGGGTAAAGAGTAAACATTTTTTGAAAAAAGAAACGTATTTTAAATGGAAATCAAAACGAAGTTTCCACACCGAAGTACTCAAAGAAAGTTTACAGATTTGTAATTAAGCACTTTTACTCACCAAAACTTCGTGGGTTGTTAATGCAAGTGTAAAATCAACATGACGAATACAGCATGCAACAACAAAACGGCACGTTTGCAGACAAGTTAGCAAATGCATTAGAGCTCAACGCTGACTAACTGCTTTTAAATGCGATTCTGCAAAAAAAAAAAAATAAATCAGTGGCATAGGAACTTTCTGCTAACGGTTAACTTTTCACACGCCAATGCATAAAAATTTCATTTCATACGAGAGCTGAGTGCGTGCTTGAGTTTGCTGTTTTTGCAAATTTAAGAGCACACATACACACGAACATGTGTTTGATATGAAGGTAGCGAGCAAGCAAACAAAAACAAAAAACAAAAAAAAATTCCAGGAAGCAGTGATGGAAAGTGTAGAAAACCTCAAACAGCAAACTTTTTTACCCACAAATTTGATTCGTATGTGTAATATATATGTATATATATGCATGTATGCCGACATATACCATATATGCCAATACTGTGCCAACATTTTTGTGTTAATTTGAGTGCAGGAATGGTCTAAACAAATAAAATGTGCTCATATGTGCTTGCATTTTGCCCACTTTTATATTCATATGCCTCGCACACACACACACACACACGCAAATGTGTGCTGGCGTATAAAAATAAGTTAAACTTGTTAGTGTGGCTCAAATGACTTTAACGAGTTTTCTGGCTGCTTTGGCATGTGTGATATGCTGGGGTTTGTTTTTGTTTGTGCTGCTTGCTGCTGCCAAACCCAATTTGTGTCGCACCCTAGTGGTTTGCCCTTGTTAAGGCTTTGCTCGTACAAATTTTATTTAATCCTTTATGCACTCAAATTGCAGTTGGCTCACTATGGAATAGTGCTTGTAGGGCGTTAAGGGGATAAACGAAGGAGGTATATTTGTGGTATATGAGGTATATGTTAAATGAGTTAGTTTTTTACCGAGGAGGCTTATGTCGAGAATTTGTGGCTCTGTGGGGAAGCTTCATTATTAACGTGAATTATTACAAATACACTTTTAGGGTACATCTCTTTTTCTTTAAGGTATATAATTTAAATATAAGTATGTATAAATTCACACATATATTTCTCATACATAGTTTTACTGGAGTTTGATATGTCTGATGGTCCCCGTTTTTTAACAAAGGCAAAAACATAAAACAAGACTCAGAAAAATATGTAAAAGGCTAAACCAATATCCGTGGAAATAAAAGATCTGCTCCAAAGTCCTTTTCCTTGCTTAATTTGTACTCTTCTTTCTCATTCAATATTTTTCTAAATGTATGCAGCGATTTACTTCACATCTCATTAATTTCCAAAAACGTTGCCTACATTTAGGCGTAACGAAAACGACTAAAATTTAAAAAATATATCAAAAAAGATCTGTTGACAATTCATTTTACAAAACTTTGAATTTTTTCAAAACATAGTTGTTTTCAGCGAAATTTTTTTTACCCTCAATTCAATATCTAATTCACTCCCTCTTTCTTTTCTTGCAGGCCTACAGCTGCGTAGCATTGAGGAGCCGAGTGCGCAGTGTCAGACACAAACACATCATTACCATCACACCGGTCGTTTGCCAGCGGCGGAGCAGGGGGGCACAGGGTGCGTCAGCTTTGAAAACGCCAATGCGTTAAATCAGCGTACCGGTGTCCCCCTGCAACTGCAAACTACACAAAATCAATATCATCATCATCAACAGCAACAACCAAACCCGCACACCATGCAACATACAACACAAAAGGGCTACGATGCTGAACAGGCGCGCATGGAGGCGTGGATGGATGAGAATCAAGAATTTGTACAGGATTATTTCATAAGGTAAGCGGGTGAAGCACATACCAAAGGATGGGAGATTGGCGTGATAGTGCCGAAGTTGAACGCAGAATGAGCTCAAATATTATTAAATACAAGCAAAAAAAAGATTAGCTACAGCAGAGCTTCGAAGTGATTGTCTTAAGCTCGGCCTTGTAAAAAATACTGATAATCCTGCTTATATAAGAAGAAGAATAGGAAGCTTAAGAAACCTAAATACAAGCGTAAAGAAACATATATAATTATATATATATATATCCATGAGGGCACATCTATGTCCTTATGCTTCTTTGTATAAATATTCTTGTAGCACTACTATAACTACGATACTGTTGTGAATTTGAAAATACAGCTCAATATACACATGAGTATATTTATAGCATGCGAGGGAATGAAATATGTGCGTTGATATACCGCAAGGTACAATTATTATCTATTTTTTGCCTTGCAACTCCTCCCTTGACACAATAGCAGCACCAAGTCAGATAAAAGGTATTTGTGTAACAAACGTACATGTATGAGTATATTATTATATATTTGTGTATGTTAATTGCTTATGTAGGTATCATTGCTTGGCAACAGTGTGCAAAAGTCAGCCAAGTGGACGCCAAGTCAGCATTAATCTGAATTTTATGATTTGACAATTTTTGTTGGAGTTCTTCTGTCTAACTTATAAGCTGTTTTAATTCTTTAAAAGATGTTGCTGGTTTAAAAAATAAGATATTTAAAAATATTAAATAAATAGGTTTACCATTTCTATATTGGGTAAATGAGTGCGACGGGAGCGAATAGAAAGGAAATATGCCTACTTAATTTGGCTGAGATGTTCGATTATGATATATGTTATAAGGAAATGACAATTATATACAAATATATTTTTTTGAAATCCCTTCTACTTCCAATCCAATTTGATATTTTTACACTCGTCTATCACGTAAATATCTACAGTTTTAGAGTGTGTTAAAGTTAAGAAGTTGGTATGTGTCTCTGCTAAGAAGAAATTTTATCTAATTGAGTATATTTCTAAAAGAATCAGCAGGCAAGACCAACTATCCAAATGCGGAAAAATTGTTCTAGTATATTACTGCAGCTGACTTCTGTAGATCCTTTAAGTATAAAATCGATCCTTCCGTAAATTCACATTTAGAATTCCTCTGTCTTAGTTGGTGGTTCGTGTCTCTGCTAAAGAAAACGTTAAGCTGTATTCAGTTAAAAAAAACCCATAATTCCCTAATTAATTCAGTCTTCTTGATTTGTATCGGCCCTTTTATAGATTTATGGTTAGATTTTGCTTCTCTCCTGATTTAAAAGCGTACAACTAGAATTGTTGATCTAATAAGCATATTGGCAGGCTTCAGATTTATATAGAAATACAAAATTTTGTTTTTGAGAACAGTAATACAACAAAATTTGTTTTTATCTCGCAAATATAATTTACAAAACAAAATATTAACTATTAAATTTTATATTATTTATAAAACCAATTATTAGGAGAGTTCTAAATACTTTATGATTACCCTAGACCGGCTTTAATTTTGACAACTTCCTTACACCGTCCCGAAGCAACCCATTCTATGTCCCGAAATAATACACACATACACTCACATATAAAACACACACAAAATTCAACGGAATGTATGAGAAGTGAATGGTGGGCTAAATATAGAATTTCCATAAATTGTCACCAAAGGAACCAGGATATTAAAGGATATTACAATGTCAATCAATTTATTAGCGGCAACACGAGCAGCATAATGTAAGAAAGTGAAATGAATTCAAATGATATTCAGTACGCCAACGAACACGCGCCGCAGCAATAAAAAGGAATATGAGACCAAAGTAATGCAAAGCAGAAATAAAAATAACTGAATAAAATGCAATAATATGAAAATAAATATTGTACTTGTATTAAAGTGTTAAAAATGCTCACAAGTGCAAAAGCATACGCATGAAATATAAAACTTCAATTGCTGGCAAGCAATGTGGCGCAAGCGTCAATGATGTGAGCGTGAATATTTAATTGAAGGTAGAGAAAAATTGAGAGAAATGCAGAAAAAAAAGAAGAGGAAAAATGAAAACTTCTTCATGCGGAAGTCGAATAAGCTGACCCCATAAATTGGCCATTAATAAAAAGAATATTTATGAATGTGGGTAAAAGTAGAGAGTAAATGTTATGTGTGTGTGTGCTGGAATGTAGGAATGTATATTAATGCTCTTACTTGGTGTTTACAAATATTTTCATACATATTTGCCATTTGCTTGCTACAAACGTCTACCAAAAAGGTCAGTTTAGCGTGAAACACCGATTTTGGTTGAGATTATAAGCATTGGTTTTTATATGTATTGGTATTTGTAAAGATGCCTGTGGGTGTATGCGGGCACTTCTGAGCTTATTGCTAATAAAATGTACATTTTTATGCGCTTTTGTCCATATGATTTGCATAAATCCCATTGAGTGGGATTTAGCAACAGCAGCTGGCGAAAGCAATTGCTTTCTATAAATATTCTACGGAATTTTGTTGGCTGTCAAATATTGTGACATACATTATTGGTTATTTTGTATAATATTGTTATTTATAGCATTGTGTTTGACGTTTATTAGAAAAGCGTGTGTAATGAAGGAAATGTTTGCAAAGAAAATGGTGGCAATTTGAGAAAATGTATGCATATAAGATAGCGGTCCTTCTAAGACGGTGGTAAAAGGAAGTTTTCATAATTAGGGTCATGGAGTTAATTGGATAAAATATAAAGGTTTTTTGAGAAAATTATTTGTCGCATATCAGTTAAAAAGTGGCGAGTATTTATTTTAAAGACGGTCATTGAGACTAAAGACTTTGGAACCGGTTATTGTGCATTTGACCGGTTTTTTTTCATCATTTGGACTCTAAGTTATGAACCATGATTACATGGTTAATGATGTCATATTCTGCAGTAGTTTTTTAAAGATTTTCCCTAAAGCGATTATTCATAAAATACACAGCGTATTCCATTTGTACGACTTTCTTAACTTCTTTTAAGCCAATCAAGACTTATGCAACTTTTCAATGATAATGTAACGGTATCCCAAAATGCTACACATCTACTGTTAAGTTATATAAAATGTTGCGTATTTATAACGCGTATTCCATACAAGCATAACTGCAACAAAAAATAAAATGCAGCCACTTTGCCAACTGAATAAATTTGCTGCCATGGCGTATGAGCAACCTCTGTGAAGTGGAAAATGAACAATGGCGCAGCTTAGGCGGAGGCTTTGGCAAAATTGTAAAACCACTTGCTTACTGCTCACTTAAGAGCAACGCAAATAACAACAAAAACATTTGCACAACAACAACGAAACAATATATTTGCACAACAACAACAAAAAGCAAGCCAAGTTCATAGCCAACTTTTGTGAGCCTGTGCAAATATTTGCCGAAATAATTGCAGCAAAAGTGTAAGTGCTCAAAAAGACTAAAACGCAAAACAAAAACTAAAAAAAAAAAGAAAATAATAATAAATAATAAGAGAGTAACGAAATAACAAGCGAGTGTCACAATTTAGATAAAATTTTGAAATTTGGGCCACTGCAGTTAATGTATGCGCTTTTGGCAGGCAATAACATTACGTATATGTATGTGTGTGCCGTCTCGTTATTTTATTTAGCTTCAATGATTTATTGACTCTGTCATGCTCTTGTCATATTTTGATTTGTTCTCGTAAAATTTATTATTTTCGTCCTGTGGTCGGCAATGCAGCAAACAGTTTTTTGTGTGCAATAAACAACAGCAAAATATATCTAAAATAAAATAAAAATAAAATTTATTCTGCTGTGTTTGCCTTTTGTGTTGCTCACTGTCGCTTTTGAACTGCACCAAGCTTCAATGTTTTTCAATGAAGTTGACTTTGCCAGCTGCTTTCAAGTGAAGAAAGGACCTATCAAGCTGTGTGCATATATTTATCATGAATAAATAACATATAATTGGCTGTTCAGAAGTTTTAGAATTTAACATTGCACATTTGTTGCCCTTGACCTCAATCAAGTGTTGATTTTTGATTTTGAAAAAATACTTAAGAGTGATTGATATGGCATTTCGTTTTCTGGTTTTGCTTAGGAAGTGGAAAATGCTTCAGAACTTTGTGTGAAAATGTTTCATTGATATCATATATTTTTCAGTTGTATGCTGTTGTTGTTAATTTTTTTAAAGACTATTTTTAATATTTTAAAAGGAGTCGCAGGAGAAAGGCTGGAAGAGAAAAAGAAAATAGAGTAGAATAGCGTAACATTAAATTTTCTGTTTAACAACTTTACTGTGCTAACCATATCCAATATCCTCGACAGATGGATATTACCGTGTTGTAACAAAGATCCGCCAAAATATTTAAAGTGTCATTTATGTTAATTTTCATATATATTTTATGAAAATATTAAAAAAAATATATATTATAAAGTTTTTCAACTTTTTTATTGATTTTTCTTTACAGAAAAGCCACACGTCAGGTTGTTGATGCTTGGCTTGTCTCACATGCCACTACAGCTGGCAATGATGTCTCGCTGACTGGCTCACCTACACATACAAATGGACAGAGTTGCTCATCACGAGGTGGATCGGGAGCGACAACGCCGGTGAGGTAAGTCGAAAGCAAAATTAAGAAATGAATTTATGCGTAAGGTAATAATTTATTTTATTTTAAAACACTGCAACAACCAGAGCAATATCCAAGAAATGATTGACATTTGAAAAAAACAACAAAAAAAAATTTACCACAAATTTTTGTTTTTAAGTAAAAAATCACCAGAAAGTATGTGACAAAGTAAATTTGAAGTAAATTTTGGTATTATTTTATTGTAGTTGAAAAATTTTGCAGGCTTTTCTAGTGAAAATCCAAAATTAGTCACAAGTTATTGTCATATACTCATAAAAATTTCACTTTAAATTATTTATGTGTCTCTCTGGAAGTTGTCTTTAAAGCTGACTCACTCCTACATTCATTTATATCAGATATATTCATCAAAATGAAGATAATATAAGTGCATTAGCTAAGCTGTTTAACCTTTACTCCATATGAATCATACACACATACGTTACGTAAGGCTTTGACATATAACCATAATATAAATGTACAGTTATTCGCAATATGCCTTCCATATATCAGCATTTGTCCACACATCAATATTTACCGCTAAGCAGCCTAACTGCTGGCCAGTTTCTAGAGTCATCACCGGCTGAATGTAGGCGTTTTGTTTCGCATAGAGGAAACTGACATCCTCTTAATGAGAAATTTGTAATATTACCCCAACAGATTATGCTATTAATAAATGTATTGTACTATATCTATAATAGAAGCTAAATATAGATGACTTAGCATACATTTCCATAGCAAATAGACGCTTGCCACGCCCGGTTACGTGCAAGCGTTGCCTCAAAGCCAAGTACGATTTTTGACCTATGCAACGCACATATATATCACTTGCCGCCCTTTGGCTTTAACACCACTAGTTTTCTAGCTCCCCTTTTATGTGTTTGGTATTTTAGACGCCTTAGCTGTTTGTCAACAGCGCTCTTGTCTTGTTGTTATGCTGCCATTGGCTTGTTGCCTATGGTCTATGGTCTATTATCTACAGTTGATTGTCCTCCATTTCAACGCACATCTGTTTACTGTTTGGTATTTAATAAATGTACAACAAAAACAGCAACGGCCTACACAAGTGCCGGCAATACACCCTACGCATATATGTATGTATTGTATGTACGTATGTGTATATGTATGCCAATATTGGCTTGCTTGTGGGTTAGCGTTAGTGCGGCGAGGCTTGGAGTTGATGAAGTGTACTCTGATATACTGCTTTCATTTTTTTATTTATATATTTACTTAGCCATTTTGTTGAGTGGCAGGCAGGCAATATTAGCAGATAAGTGGTGTAATGGCCCAGAAAAGTGTAGTTGCTAACCGCAAAAAATAATTTCAGTGCTGCCTCAAACCCTTGTCAACACTGTATATATATATGTATATTGGTTGTGGTGTATCCTGTTGTCGTTATAATATATGTAGGTGCATATATACAAGCTGCCTGGCTGACTTAAATTAAAGGATAGATAAAAAATGTAGAGATTTTCGCAAACAAAAAAAAAACATAAATGTATTGACATATTAAAAGTTTTTCTCAAACCCTTTTGTATTTAATTGAAACACTTTTGGGGTTTCTTTATCATTTTGTAAAATTGAAAAAATATTTTGGATTTTTTACGACACACAAATTCTCAATGACGGCAAGTCAACCGTCAATAAACTGTAAAGTCCTGGCGGCTTTGATAACTAGTAAACAAAACCAGAAAAAACGTTAACTTCGGTTGCGCCGAAGCTATAATACCCTTCACAAAAACAAAGGCCCCTTACAAGAACTTGATTCCGAACGTTCAATTTGTATGACAGCTATATGATATAGTGATCTGATCTGACCAATTTCTGTGGAGAATAATTTGTTGCCTTAAGCAATAACTCGTGCCTAATTTCGTGAAGATACCTCGTCAAATTAAAGAGTTTTCCATACAAGCACTTCATTCCGATTGTTCAGTTTGTATGGCAGCTATATGCTATAGTCATCCGATCTGAATAATTTCTTCGGAGATTACATTGTTGCCTTAACTAATAATCCGTGCCAAATTTTGTGAAGATACCTCGTCAAACGAAAGAGTTTTCCATATAAGCACTTGATTCCGATTGTTCAGTTTGTATGGCAGCTATATGCTATAGTGATCCGATATCGGCGGTTCCGACAAATGAGCAGCTTCTTTGTGAGAAAAGTACAGGTGCAAAATTTCAGATCGATATCTCAAAAACTGAGGGACTAGTTCGCGTATATACGGACGGACAGACGGACAGACGGACGGACAGACAGACGGACATGGCTAAATCAACTCAGCTCGTCACGGTGATCATTTATATATATACTTTATATGGTCTCCGACGTTTCCTTCTGGGTGTTACAAACTTCGTGGCAAAATTAATATACCCTGTTCAGGGTATAAAAAAATGTAAAATTTCTATTTGGAGTTTGTACATTTAAGCTTGCTCGTTTCCATTATGTGCTACTCCTTTTCTAATAATCACTTTTTGAAATTTTAAATACAGAATATTTTTCGAAGGACAACAAAATTTAAGACACCATATATATACATTTTTGATGATTTATTTATTTCTTAAATTTTTATTTACTTATTATTTATTGTTTAGAATATTTCTTATTTGTAAAACTATTTTGTATATTTTTAAAATTATTTTATTTTGTTTTATTTTTTTTTGGAAAAAAATTTGTCAATTATTTATTATACTATTATTAAATAGTATTTAGCTAAAAAATAATATTTATATACCTTATATATATATATGGTTTAATCCTCTCTGTTTTAATCAAACGTCTTCATTTTAGACCATTGAAGTCGTTAGGCTTTAATTATTGTGCAATAAACATGACTTATTAATTAAATAATATTTATTTCTCTATTTTTCATATTTTCTTCTGCGTGACTCTTCACTACTACTTGATGATTCGTAATAATTTCCATGAAATTTCACGAATGCGCCTGGCCGTTGGCGTGTTATTCTTGGCATCAATGAAAATTCAAACACTCGCTACGCACTTGCACCCGCTACAAACATACAAATACGTACATGACTGTGGTAATGGCAATTGGACTTGGCTTACAGAAAAATATCAGCACATGAATTTGAACGTGGCGGTCTGCTGAAGCCAATTGTCAACACCATTGACGGTACACCGACATTCTTAAGTGTAGGCACACAAAATGATTGCTCAACAAACAGTAGCAATATGGGCGGCATCGGTGGTGGAAGTAATGGCAATAACATTGGCGCTGGCAATGGCAACTATAATGCTGCCAATGGCACGAGCACACTGGGTGCTCATCACTATCATCATCATCATCATGGACAGACGGCGCACAGTTTCGGCACAATGGGCTATTATCGGCCGCAACGTTTGTCACGCAACGAATTGAAGGCGTTGGATGAGAGAGAGCTCATTTTTGAACTGGTAAGGTATTGTCTCATTGTGTCTCAATTACAATGTCTCTTTCACTGGACAATAACAATGGCAGCGTATATTGAATGCATACATTAACCAGCGCAGCTTGGTGGTGTGTAGTGGTTAATTAAAGTGGGCGGTATAGCATAAAAGCAATTGCGAATTTGAGTTTGGCAAAAACAGAAACAGTAACTTGAAATTCCGTACGCAGTCTAAGTGTTGCGTGTTCGCTGGCTCTTGTAATGGCTTAGTGGCAGTTAATAGTGGTGGCGCTTTTGTGTGTTTTTTGTTTGCCACTGGTATTGATATTTTGAGTATCAGAGGTATTTTTAGCATTTTTGGTTGATTACAGGCAACATTTCGTTATTGAGCTATTGCTTATGGCCATTTTTAATTATGAGAAGGTGGTTACGTATACGCCACGTGTGCACGCAATGTAAGTAAATATTTTCTGGGTGGCAAATATGCCATAATATTAAGTATACGTGGTATAAAATAAATATTTTTCTTCGAAAATATTTAAAATAATTTTCAAAGTGAGCCTTTAATTCTAAATTACACTTAAAGCCCTTAAATTTAATATCAGCAACGTTGCAAGCACTGACTTTGTAATAATATCCAAACCTCTAGGGCACTCTCATTTCCGCTTTAATACTTGTTTGCACTTTTTAATTAATATATGAAAAAGGAAAGTGAAGCACGCATTACATTGCAAATAAAAATATCAATTGTTTTCATTTACTTACGCCTTATATTAATTTTTTTCTCATTTTAATTTTCTCTCTTTCTTTTCATATGGATGCAACATTGCTTTCCATCGCTTGCGGCATCGCCATTGTTGCTTTCAACACAATGGACGCAACACCAACAATGACAACAAAACAACTATTAAAAAAATGAAATATTCCCCTCCTCATGTGTGTGTGTGAATGTGTTTGGCCGCAACTATGCTGTTGTTTGAATTGAAAAAACAATGCGCATTAGGTAAAGGATATCTGCAACGAACTGGAAGTGCGTACATTGTGCCATAAAATCCTGCAGAATGTATCAATATTGTTGAATGCAGATCGTGGCTCATTGTTTTTAGTGCAGGGCCGTTGCAATACTGCCAACGATGGACCAAAGAAGTGAGTAAACAGGAAGACTGTGAGTTATTATTGTGCTTCGTAATTAAAAATATTATGTGTAATACTTGTTTTAAGTTGAAAACATAAAAATAAAGGAAAGCTTGGAAGAAAAGCCAGTTAAACTAATATACATTTTTTTTATACAAAATATTTTCTACTGCACTTTTAACTAGTTAAAAAATTTTTAGCTGAATATATTTTTTTTACATACATAAAAAATAGCAATTATTCACGTCATTAGTACATCTTTTTTACAAAAATATAAATACTGATTGCATATTGCATTTTTTTAATTCTCCTGTTTTTGAAAGTTTTTATTAGGTAATAGAGACCAAAATTCTGATCTTATACCTTGTTTAAAATTAAAAAATAGAGACCAAAATTCTGATCTTATAAATTTGTTTGTCTATTGCAAAATAAATATAATTAATTTTTCAAAAGAATTTATTTTCTAATTTTTTTTCAAAAATTTTTATAATTTTTTAAATATATTAAATTCTACTAACAAAAATTTTTTTCCAATGTTTTTTTCTAAAACGTATCTAAAAAATGTATGCATACATTTTCAAATATTTAAAATTTTTTAATTTATTTTAATATTTTTATGTTTTATCTTAGTAAATTATCAGATTAATTCTTTTTTTAATTTGCCATAATTTTTTTTCTGACAACGAAAAATATATAATTATAAATTTCTTTTTATTTCCAAAATTTGTTTTCTATTGTTTTTAGTTTTTGTTTTACTTTAATATTTTCGTTTGATTTTTTATTTTTGGCGGATTAGCTCCTTTATTAATTTATCAACTAATTCAGTTGTTTTTAATGCGTCGAAGAGTTAAGATTGGCTAATTTAATTTTGACATAAAATAATAAATAATATTTTTCTTAGAAAGTAAAAAAAAAAAAACAATACAAATATTAATTTTTGCAAGCACTGTTTTTGTAGTCTTCCAGCAAAAATGATTGCTGCAAAATTTATTTTTTATATAATATTGCTATAAATTCAAGGTGTTTATAATTTTTCACTCTGTTATTTTTACCTTCAGATGTCTCGTCTCTAAGCTGTTCGACGTTTGTCCACGCAGCACCGTGGAACAGATGGAACAGCAAGAGGAAGTGCGCGTTGCTTGGGGTTCGGGCATTGCTGGCCATGTAGCAGAGAGCGGTGAACCAGTTAATATACCAGATGCATATCAGGTAAGCAATATAAAATTCGAAAGAAAATGTTCAGGTCTAATATTGGTACTTAACTTTTCGCACCAAAATAGTTAAATCATAGTATTTAAACATATTTACATTTAATATACAGTTTGCTTTGCAGGTATCGAACTATGTTTTCAAAGAAAACACAGCAAAATTAATTATGGCATTCGGGGTTTGAAGAAAAGTTATACTATATGATCACTGCGATTAAGTCTTAGGAAGCTTATTTGGTTGGTCCCTGTTTACATTACTTTTTATAGCCTAATCTTACCAATATATTTATACAATATGAATGTCAAAAACATGAATGTCCTTGACAGCTGGTTTGACAGCTATCCCTCCAGGAAATTCTATACAACCCAATATAGCCTTTATGATATTATTTTTTACTTATAATCAGCTAAAGGCAGCTGCGTGTAAAACTAATTTACGAAATGTGGGTACTTCTATGGCACTTGCTAAAAATGTATTACTTTAAGTTCAAACCAACTGATAATGTTGTGATTTTAACTTACAATAAGTTTGAAAGTCTAAGCATTTAACTTTGATATATGCCTTCACAACAACAAATATACATCATTCGGTAAATCACACTTGAACTCAGTTTTGTTTACACACATATGCTTTTTCCGCTTATATGTATGTATGTACCAGTTAAGTATTTCGTGCGCATTCGAGTACTTTTATCGCTACTTCCGTTATGACACCATGTGTATCATTAATCATATTTATACGGGCAGCAATTTTGATTTACGAATGAAAGTAAACTTTAAACAGCTCAAAGTTCCGGTCAGTGATTACTTGCCAGCACAAACTTTTTGATTTCTTCACTTAGAAGTCATAGTAAGGAAGCGGAATAAAATTCAGAAGCAAGCTACACTTACATCCATGTACATACACTCTTCAACAAAGCATGTGCAACTCTTTGGCTCAGTAAAAGATATATTTTCAACTGCTTGCCACTTCCGGCGCGTTTTATGGTATTTCACAAGCAGACGTACAAGAAAGATTAATGATAGATTTTAATTTTTTACATTTCTCATGTTTTCGATTCGATTCTTGATCGCAGTACTTTGGCCGGAACTGTATATGTATGTTATATAATGTGTTGAAATGTAGCGGCTACAATGAAAAGAATTCTAAAGCTTTGGCAAGTGCTTAGCTGGCTTAACGAGTTCAGACGTCAGCGCTTTTAGCAATTAATCTTCTAAAGCCAGAAATTTGAAAATGTGTGCATAAGTGTGTGTTATATATATATTATATATTATATATATTTTTGTAACATTATAAAGCAATGAGGGAATATAACTTTTAGGGTTAAATTCTGTGACAAGTAGAATTAATTTAGCATACATTTCGATCTGATTCCTCAACCGTAAAAACGTTGACTCAAATATATAATTCATAATAAATTCAAAATATACATAAAGAATTATCAGAAGTAAGTTTTGAACAACCGCGCTAATTGGTAGAATTTTGAGTGAAGTTAGCTGCGGTTGGTTGAATATGCATGGATTGAAAATACTATTTTTCAGGAGAGCATACAAAATGGCATCTATTTTGTGATAAGCAAGACTTTACATATATCCAATCGCTGATTTCTTTTTGTACCCATCTGAATAATAAATTATTGCGTGTGATCTTTTGTAACTCGTTTAAGAGAGATATGGACTACTCGGTAACTGTATGATGAATAAAATTTCCCAGCAGGAAATATCGGAGTCCTTATAAAATATATATATAAACGATCAGCGTCACGAGCTGAGTCGATTTAGCGATGTCTCATTGCCTGTTCGTCTGTCTATTTGTATATACGCCAACTAGTCCCTCAATTTTTGAGATATGGACCTGTAATTTTGCATACGTCCTTTCCTCCGCAAGACGCTGTGCATTTGTTGAAGCCGATAACAAGTTTTTGTGTGAATACTTTTTTTTTTTTATTTATGTAGGGTATTATAGCTTCGTTGCTTCGGTGCTTCGTTTTTTCTTTTTTTCATTTTTGTTATATAAAGTTTTCAAGCATAAGAGCCTTGAATGTTGTTTAAAAAAAATCAGCTTTTGTGCTAATCACTTGATTATTTGAGTGTAATATTGAAAATTCATTCTATTCTGTTAACACTCTACCAACAACTCAATCAAACAACAACACCATAACATTCTTAGAAATATTTTAAAACACTTGCATGCACAACGTGTAACTAAACGTGAGAATATTAAACATATAATCATACCATAGATATCTGTAGGCAATATTAAAAGCAATAATGATAAGTAAGCAATAATAAAATGTATCACTCCACCAAACACTGATAAGGCCAATCGGTGCTGCTGATGATGAACGCAAAGCAAATACAAATTTCGCCTTAATACATTGTGGTGTATTTCTATATGTTAGTTACACATACTTCTATATATATTTCTATATATTTATCTGCATATTTAAATACAATTAACTACATATATTACAAATATTCAAAACTCAAGCAGCGCTGATAGCGTTATCGACCGTTGTTCATTAGTGATTATGATGAAGCGCGTCATTCATTAGCACTTCCACATATACATATATATATATGTATGTGTGCGCGTATGTGTTGGTTTTTTTAATACCGCGACGTTTTCACTTTGCACTGCGTGAGTAATTGCCTTTTCTTCGAATGCAGTGTGCCGTGCATGTCGATTACCTACTTACTTTCTTGATCGCTTACAAGCACATACACGAAAGTGTGTCGAAGTCGACGGTTACTACGGAAGGAAATAAGTTCAACGCGGAGAATATTCGAGGAAAATGATAAACCGATATCAATTGTACACTTTACACGTTAATTACACTGTCACTCTGCGTAATTTTTAATGAGTGGGAATTATCTGAGGCAGCGTTTCGTTGAGTAAATGCATTTATTCCAGGTGGCGGTGAGCGTCCGCTGACTGACTTGATTGTTACATGCAAGCAATTAAAGAGCTTTCATTTTAAAGTGATTCTAATTTTAATAAAATACGCAGTTCTTATAACATAGTTTTTTCATCAAGAAAGTTGGGTCAAAACTGGGTGTTTATAGTATATATGTATATTGGGGTAGACCGAATTTTTTTTTTGTTTTTGCTCAGCTTGAGGGTAGTACAATAGATTATAAAAAAAGAAATATTTTCGAAAAAAAAATAATTTTATAACATCTTTCACTTTTAAAGTAAATTTCGAATTAAAATTTTTTTTTTTTGCTCCACCCTAATGTATGTATATAAAATTTACAGGCTGTTTTTATACTCTTAGACGACCGAAATGCTTTGCAATATGCAATAGGAAACTGTAAAAGATTTATTGTATGCCATTTATGCGTCTTCCAGCTCTTGTAAAGTATTTTAAGCGAAGTTGGCTGCGGTTGTTTGAATATGCTTGAAACAGCGCTAATACTTTATAAGACTGCCCTCATGTTCGAGCAACCAAAAGCAAACTTTTTCAAGTTGAAAAAATAATCGGTTTACTGCCTTGCTTTTATTTCCCTAATAAGCGAGTGTTCTTTTGCTACTCGCTTAAGCTGGCTCATAATTTAATCAGGTATAATATTGATAATATATTTTTAATTGCTCTGTTATATTTCGAAATAACAAATTTGTGTTAAACTCAAAACGCCTTGTCGATATTTTAGGATCTGATAATATATGTTAAGCAGTTTTTGTGTATCACAAAAAACCAGCTTTCACAACGCCTACGAATTAACCTAACGTATATTTGCTTTGTTGGATTTAATGACTGTATATAGTTATATATTATTTCTAGGAAAATCTCTTTCTAGTTCAATTATTTGTTTGTGCAAATATTTTACACAATATTGCTAACTCTTTGCTTCGCCTTTCCTTTTATTCCATTCACAGGACGAGCGCTTCAATGGTGAAATTGACAGCATAACTGGCTATCGAACGAAAGCCCTGCTCTGTATGCCCATTAAGGATTCATCGGGCGATGTCATCGGTGTGGCGCAGGTCATTAATAAATTAAATGGTGAATGCTTCACTGAGGCGGATGAGAAGGTAAGCAAGTAGGGCACTGATAAGTAATAAAACTGTATATTAGATAATTTACTAGGCTAGGTGGATTAAGCGAGCGAGCTCAATGTGCTTAACTCATCCGCAATTTCACAACTACTAATTTGAAATTTATGTGGTCAATAGCAGATTATATGTATGTGCTAACATAGTTACAAAAATATATAGTGCAGCTTTCAATTTCATAGAAGACACTTAAATTTTTTATGACACTCACTTGTTGTGTACGATTATATTATTTGCTATTTTCCTCCAAGACACACATGCATACACACGCGCGCAATAACAACGAGCATATGGCCTGTTACTTGCTGTTGGCAGCACCGCAAACGCTCCGGGCGAAATGTTGCAAACTTTTCACATTCCAGCACATCAACAATTTTCCGCTCGATTCATTTCATAGGTTTCGCGCTCGATACTTCGCGCGTGTAAAATGCGAACTTGTCTTCAAAGAAATTTTTATCGCCTTATTTGTCTATGGGTGTAATGTTTTCATTTTTATTAGCACTGGAAAATCTGAAAAGACAACTTTCTTTTAACAACTTTTTCGCACTTAAAATTTAATTTTGTCACTAAAAGTTTGCCATTCTCTGGCTGACACGTGGTCGCATGAATACGAAAAAGGAGCGCTGCAGTGTAAAGTAGTTGTCCATGTTAGAAGATTTTAGTAGTCAATTAAGTTTAATGGCCAAACCGTATTTGCAAAGGCGGAAAATTCAAATTTTATAACGGTAGTTACTAAGTGAGAATAACTATAGTAAATAATATTAATTTAACTTTTATTTATATTTAATACAGCGCTAAACTCGCTTTTTACTCTTTATATCTCTTTCTCACGCTCTTTCTATACAATATCTCTTTATTGCATTCTCTTTTTAGGTGTTTTCTTCTTACCTGCAATTCTGCGGCATCGGTTTGCGTAACGCTCAACTTTACGAGAAATCCCAACTGGAAATCAAACGCAATCAGGTCTTACTCGATTTAGCGCGTATGATTTTCGAGGAGCAGAGCACCATTGAGCATATGGTATTCCGTATACTAACACACATGCAAAGTCTCATACAGTGTCAGCGTGTGCAGATATTGTTGTTGCACGAGGCATCAAAGGGCAGCTTTTCACGTGTGTTTGATTTTGAAGCGAATGATCTCAGTGAAGAGGAGAATACGTCACGTACGAGCCCGCATGAGTCACGATTTCCCATAAATGTGGGCATCACCGGCTATGTGGCCACAACTGGTGAGGTAAGTGAACTGCTGTTGCAACATGTTTTATTATTATCAAACTTGCATTAGATATGAATGAATTTAAACGTTATGCAGGGTTGCCGCGTACATTTTTATTAATGAAATTAATGAATTTAATTTGTTAAAGTTTATAAGTGTTATATTTGTAAACATGTATTCTACAAAATTTTGAAATGTATTCATTGTATATTTAAAAAAATAGTATATAATCAAAATGTAAAAAAAATATTTTAAAAATAAATTTTTAAAATAAATAAATTAATTTTAAAATTTTTTTTACGGCCTAACTTAAAAAAATTTTATTGTAAATTAGCAGTGTTTTAAAAAAAACGAACTAAAGGTTTGTCATTGTTGCCACACAATTTATTAAAGTTGTCTAAATAAAGCTTTATAAAGTAAGCATAGATTATTTTGGCCAATTTGCAGTTAAAATAAACAATTAGTATTCGTAAAAAAATTTCATATATCTTTAAATTAAGTAATTAATTTTTTTATCTCAAAGTTATAAAGAAATTAATTTATTTGGCAACTTCCTTAGAAATTAAAAAAATATTAAGGCTGAAAAAAAAATATATTTTATACAGAGTAATATACGAAAAGAGCAACTCTATTTGAAAAATCGTATAAAAATATAATTCAACTCAAAACATTTTCTACCAATTCTCTTTACTCTCGCCACAGACTGTGAACATACCAAATGCTTATGAAGATGATCGCTTCGACGAAAATGTCGATATCGACGGCAACTTCAAGCACAAGTCCATATTATGTATGGCAATTAAAAATTCTTTGGGTCAAATAATTGGCGTCATACAGCTGATAAACAAATTTGATGATCTGGTGAGTAAAACAGGAACCAAACCAATTATAATAGTATCATAAACCCTTATAAATTGTTTTTTTTTTTCGCCTTAGAACTTTACCAAAAACGACGAGAACTTCGTCGAGGCTTTCGCCATCTTCTGCGGCATGGGCATACATAACACACACATGTACGAGAAGGCGATCGTGGCGATGGCCAAGCAGAGCGTCACATTAGAGGTGTTGAGCTATCATGCATCGGCAACGATTGATGAGGCGCATCGATTGAGGGTGAGTCTAAAATAAGTGTTGAAATTAATTCAATTAAATGCAGTAGAAGAAAAATATGTGTATGTGCTTAGAAGCATATATATTACAAGTATATTACCCCTTTTAACGGATGTGCTTACGGCTTGTCAGTTCCGTTTGCGGCAAATTGGTTAGTCAGCTGCCAAAGCGCCGGCAATTAATTTTATCTTTGACAATTTCAAGCTTTTGCGGTATAATTTATTGCAGCATGACACATGCTTACTGCAAGTGACATGTGTACCCGTTTACGTGTAACTGGATTGCATGTACGTGTGTGCGAGCGTGTTTGTAATTGCATTTCAATGCGCAACTCATACGCTCTCTTGTCAATCGCTCGCTGGGAAGATGTTACGAGAATGTCACGCTGCTGTACAAGACATTTCCAATTTGACCTCAATAACCATATTTGATTGAAGCACAAATGCATATTTGCATGTGGTTTACATGTGTATTGTATTATATGCGCGCTGCATATTCATATGCACTAGAATGTGTGTGTGCGCAAATATTTTGTATTCCTTTGGCATTTTTAATCATCTTGTTGCGGTTTGTTGACATTTGCATATGGGTTTTTGAAGCAGATTCAAATTAAATCTTTCTGAAATGATGTTGCGCTCGAAATAAATAGAAATTCATATTTTAGTATGTGTCGTTGTTGATAAAGTAAATTTTTTTAATCGGTTCTGCTATGTGCAGGGTAGAAGCAGTATATTCTTTCATTTAGTTAGAGTAATTTAAACAATATTTTCGTAATTATGCTTCATCTAAAATTTTTGAAAATCTGTAGTTTTGATTTTGAGCGGTCGGTTTGTACGTAACTAAGATTTATTTTTTTGAGCTTCTCTTTCTATTTATTTTTGTGGTTTGCTATTTTCGAACCGATAGACGATCCTAAAGATCATAAATCACAACTGTTGCTTAAACAATGCTTTCTGTGGCAGAAATTTGTTTGTAAATAGAATTTTGTAAAAATTATGTAATACTGTTTTATAAGACATCAGCCAGGACTTATACCCAATACTCATCGATTAGTACTCTCACTCTCAAGCTACTCAGCTATGGAAACCGTCAAAGAATTACAGTTATTTTAACGCTATTTTGCAATATAAAAACTTATAAACACCATAAAGAAGCTTATAGCAAAACAAAAAAAAAGAAAAATTAAATGAATTAAGTTAATTAAATGCCTAAAAGCTGAGTAAAAAAATGTATGCTCTACCTTTTGAACAAACTTTGTGAGCACTATTAAGACATTCTCCAGCACTTGACTCACGACCGAGCTCTATAGTAAACCATTCCATTTCGGTAACGAGCAGCATTTGACCGCAAATGTATATGAACTCGGTATAAAAGCAATTAACTGAAAAGGACATGTGTCCTGGGAATCATAACTATCATTTTAATTACCAAGCAGTATATGACCTTATAACTGACGCACACACACACACACACAAACTACTACTAAAGGAGATGAACAAAAGCGAAGTCATAAAAGGAAGTCAGGAAGGCATTTGAACATAAACATAATTGATTGACTGTTGTGCCACCAACAACAATGCGCAAGAACATGCCACTTGAAGGCATTGCAGTAGCGTGGCAGCTCGCCTGGCATGCGAAATTTCGCGCTGAGTACAAATAAATGAGCTCACGTTTTTGATAAGAGCGAGAGTAAAAGATACGGTCGATTAGAAAGAGAGTATATGTATATACTTACCATGTATATAGTATATATATGTTTATGTATGTATTAAATTATTATGCTATAGTAGAAAATATACAATTTTAACATAATTACTTAGCTTGCTTTTACAGTTACCGTTAGTTATTATTTCTTACCTATTTACATAATTATCTCCACTTCCTTTTACTGCCAGTGCAATTATACACAATTATGTAACCTTTTAATTCTGCACATTTCAAATGTGGCTATGTTTATATTACAAATTAAAGTTTGTGGCTTGTTATCTGGCAAGTTTCCCCTAAATGCAGACATTTCAAACAAAGTCTCACAGGCATACACTTATAGGTGCATAGGTGTTAATGTGAGCGTGGATGATAGTCTTCGGGCCATTTAAATGTAAATGAAGTCAATACTGTCATGCTTATCCATTTCCTTATTAGATTTTATAAAAGTGAGTGCTTGTTGCGCAATAATATAGCAATAAAAGAGATGTCAACATCTTTTTTGTGTTTTAGTTATTATTTGGTTAAGCTAATTTCCTTTAAGTGGCTAACCGAGGAAATTAATATAATGGAACACAATATTAGAGAACGAATTTTTATAACAACAATAGCAACAAATAACATAACTGAGATCTTCCAACAAGTTTGCTTTTAAAGGGTTTTCTTTTAAGGGACGCACCTATGTTACTGTGAGATCTTAATTTCCACCAAGCTGCCTGAAAAAAACATTTATGAATTTAGCTTTCAAAATTTTGGTAGAACTAAGGCATTAAAATCGTGAATTTATTGTCACAGAGTGTCGGAAAGATTGCTCAATACTCATAGTCGATCTCATTACCTTTTAATAATTATTTCATTTCTTTCATTCCAGCGTTTACGTGTGCCATCAGCTGCGCATTTCCGCTTACACGATTTTCGCTTCGATGATATACATTTTGAGGACGATGATACTCTGAAGGTATGTCCAATTTATAACATGATATACACCGCATAATGCTATTAATTATACAAAAAATATTTATTTTTAGTTGCCTTACTCTAATATTTTTTATTTTCAGGCCTGCCTCCGCATGTTCCTCGATCTGGACTTTGTCGAGCGTTTTCACATCGACTACGAGGTGCTTTGCCGTTGGCTGCTGAGTGTCAAGAAAAATTATCGCAATGTTACTTATCACAATTGGCGACATGCCTTCAATGTGGCGCAAATGATGTTCGCCATACTAACGGTATGTACGCAGAAAATTTCACTATTTAGGAATATGAAATTGGCAAAGGTTGGGTGTTACTGCGGGCACATTTTTTATTTTTTATTTATTGTGGCTGTAAATTTTGCTTTTACTTATTTTTTTTTATAATTTTTTTTTATTATTATTTTTAAATATTTTTTTTTTAATTTTTACGCGATATTTTATTAAAAATTAGTTTCGTAAACTCTTTTGCTCTTACAACATTTTTCGCCGTTTAACATTTCCCGGCTTCACTTCAATGTATTTTCTCGCATGCAATTTTTCTCGTTTCATGAAATTAAAATTTCTTTTAGAGAGTAGTTCTTTTCTACGATTTTGAGTTCGATTTGCCAAATTTTATTTTTTGCTTTTGATTGATTAATCAAAGATTTCCCATAACGGACAGGCGACACAATGGTGGAAGATTTTCGGTGAGATCGAGTGCTTGGCATTGATTATCGGTTGCCTGTGTCACGACTTGGATCATCGGGGGACTAATAACTCCTTCCAGATTAAGTAAGTTCTCTTCGTTGACACCATTAAAAGCGGTGACACTAACAATGATTTAATATTTTTATAGAGCCTCCTCACCATTGGCTCAACTATATTCGACCTCCACCATGGAACATCATCATTTCGATCAGTGTTTGATGATTTTGAATAGTCCTGGAAATCAGATTCTGGCAAATTTGTCATCAGTTGACTACTGTCGCGTTATACGCGTTTTGGAGGATGCCATATTATCAACGGATTTGGCGGTGTATTTTAGGTGAGTAGCTACTTTCTTAAAATAAATTAATTAAAAGATTAAGCAAAAATATTCCAGTACCAATTCTACCATGATTTATGTATAAATTATAATTGTGTTTGTTTTTAGAAAACGTGGCCCCTTCCTGCAATCTGTGAAGGAGCAGCCCCTCAGCTATTGGGAGGCTGACGAGCCGCGTGCTTTATTGCGTGCTATGAGCATGACTGTCTGTGATTTGTCGGCTATTACAAAGCCGTGGGATATTGAGAAGCGTGTAGCCGATTTGGTGAGTTCGGAATTCTTCGAGCAGGGCGATATGGAGAAACAGGAATTGAATATAATGCCCATTGTAAGTACTCTATAATATTATATTAATGTTTTTCTCTTCCAAGACATATTCGCTTGTGATTTGTTTTGACTAGAAGACTGTCATAAAATATTAAACATGTAAGATTTTAGGATTCCTGACTGTCATGAATTCCGTTAGAATATTTTCGAAGAAGAGTTACTGAATTTAAATGCTTTTGTATGTTGGTATATTAAATCTGAGCTATTTAGTACAGTGATTGACGTAAAGGGGTTCCGGTACTGCGAAAAATATTGTATAATTATTCGAAATTGTGAATATTGACGTTCACAAAGTTTTAAAGGAAAGTGACATTGCGATGTAATACAATTACTGATTTTGTGCTGGAACAATTTCAGTCTACATATTACTTTGCACATAACAAAAATACCATAATATAATATAGCATAACATAACATAACATGACATGATATGATATGACATGACATGACGTGACATAATATAACATAACATACCTAACGTGACATGACATAACTTAACATAACATAAAATAACATAACATGACATGACATAACATAACACAACACAACAGAACATGAAATAAAAAATTATATCTTAATATAAGAAAAGATAACATAACTTCACCTAACATATGACTTAACAGAACATAATAGCAATGTGGCGTAACATATGATCGGATAGCAAATTTGTATACAAGTATATGTAAATTCAGTGGATACTTCTTACCGTCTCGGTAATAGCTCGAGACAGCGAAATCCCGCTCGATCAGTTCAGAATTTTCTTCCCTTTAGGACAGGGATATCTCTCACGTTTTTTTATTTAAAACCAATCTCTGTTTTATATTTTATGGCAAGACATATTCTTATTTTCATCTTTTTTCATGCACTGGTCTTCCATTTTTCGTCTGAAATTAGTTAGTCCTTTTTATATATAATGTCTAATTAAAAAAAATAATTTTCAGGATATCATGAATCGCGAGAAGGAAGATGAATTGCCAATGATGCAAGTCAACTTTATTGAATCCATTTGCTTGCCAATTTACGAGGTGAGATAACAGTAATTTAATAAAAGTTTAAATAATATTAAAAAAAAACCGTTTTCCATCAACTCCTTTAGGCTTTTGCCAATCTCTCCGACAAACTGGAGCCACTGGTCGAGGGTGTGCGTGAAAATCGCGAACATTGGATCGAGTTGGCGCAACAAGTACAAAATAAAGAGAATGCAGCGAGCAACACAAATGGCTGCGCAGACACAACCAAGCAGAATGGCTGCATTTCGGATGGGCGCAGCGATTTGACTGATGAGATCGGCACGACGAACACCACGAATTGTGACAGCAATGCCGACGATGGCATATCAACAGGCGCCGAGTGCGAAATCGACGAGCAGAGTGATAGCAAAAATCCAAAGAAAATTCGCAACTGCAACAACGATGACGATGATAATGATGAAGACGACGAGCACTTGTGTGCCGAAGCGGAAGAAGCCGCCATCGAAGCGGATGACGACGACTCGGATGTAGAGGTATCGCGCCATTCCAACGGTTGTTTCTCCTCCGGCTCGAGTCGTTTGAGTACACCACCGCCCACAGGCGAAGATGACAGTCTACCCACTTCGCCGGCCAAAGCGACGCAAGCGAAACTAATTGCGGCAAATCTGAATAATCTTAATCAGCGTACGCTAAAGTCGACACGCAACTGTTGTCGCAGCTGTGAATATGTGCGGTGCAGCGGCAATATGCGCAAAGCCTCATCGCTCAAGGGCGCCAAAGAGTTGCAACAACAATTAAATACACAAAATGGTGGCAACTGCGGTTACTACAGTCGCAGCGCACCCTCAGTGAGCAGTTGTGGTGTGACGAGTTCTGCCGGCAGCTTACAAAAACAACAAAATCACAGTGACAGCCAGCCGAATCAGCTGCAGCATCACCATCACCACCAGCAACATAACCATTACCATCATCGCCATCACAGCCATCAGCATCACCATCATCACCACCACCACAACAATCAGCATGCGCCACATAGCGCCAACGGCACTGGCAATACATCAAGCGGCGCCGAAAGTGATCGGATACCGAAAATTGTAGGTAAACTGGGCAACATTGATAGCTTGCAATATCTTGCTAGTGGTGGCAATGGCGCCGGTGACGCGCTGCTGCACACAAATGCCGGCAAAGGCACACCAAACGGCATCGCGTTCACACCGAATGGCCACGTCACCTATTTTGCCGCCAGCGATGTACCCACATTGGTCGTTTCGCCGACAGCGGCGACCACAACAACAACAGCAGCGACAGCGGCGACAAGCGCTTGTGATAAATGAAGTGTTTAAGCGAAATGCGTGAGAGCGCTTTGTGCTCTTACATGGCAGTGTTATATCGATTTAGTATATGTACTCATACATATGTATGTGTATGTGCTTGTAATGGCTTAAAGTGCGTAAAACTGTAGTGAGGGTTAAACGCGTGCTGCTATTTGTGGCTCAAACGAGTTCGCTCACGCAACTACTAAAGCAAATGCGTAAATTACAATTTTGACTAAATGTAATTATTATTGTAACTATATTGACAACTGTTTGAAGATTGTAGTGGAGTCTAAAGAGAGAATTTGTGAAAATTAATTTTGTTTGGTTTATATATAATATTAATGAAATCAGCCTAAAAAACACTACAAGCCGTAAGAAATGCTCTAGAGTTTATATATATATATATACATTCGGTTGTTATAAGAGGTTACTGAGTTGGTTTTAGAGTAACTAATTCTCCTTCAGAATCCTTAAAGTAATGAAAATGCCAGCTTTTTTTACTTAAATACATTTTAAATTTAAAATATATTATATTTTACGGCTCAAAAATATTTTCAAGATGAACTATTGCTAGGCCAGTCTAGAGTCCTGAAAAATCCTTTAATTTTGACAATTTATTTAGGCTGCCAGGAAAAAGCTTCTCTGCTCTGCGGCAAACCTTTTATACATGTATTTGAGTGTAAAGACATTTTTTATGAGATTTTGATACAAAGTGGCGACTATTGGGCCAATCTACCGAATTAACTTTTCCCAGACAGAATCTAAGTGCAACGGTGGCTCTACGAACTCGTGTTATTTAAAAAAAAAAATACAAAATGGATCTTAATTTAGTACAACGTGGTAGTAAAGTACTATCCTTTTAGTTTTACGTAAATTTCTTGCAAAATATCGGAGTTTTTAAAAAAGTTTCAATCTCTAAATATCAAAAAAAAAAACAGTAAATTGCTTATAAAAAATTGCCATGATAAAAAAGTCGTATGTTATTTACTAAATAATGTTGTTATCTCCGCAAACCATCCTTGCCATGGTCTAAAAATACAGTTTCAAGCAAAATGAGCAAAAAGTTTTATGTGCTAAAACTGACTGACCCGAACGCTTCGAGCGAATCGGAGAAGAAAATAATTTGTATTTCACTATTCTATCAATTCAATTTGTTTTAAGCAGCCTACAGTACACTTTTCAAGCTTAAAGTAAAAATTTCGATTTAACGAAAATACAAGACTGGTCTAAGCCTTTAAAACTAAAATTCGAAATACAAAATTTTTAAAAATAAAAATTTATTAGGCTTATAAATTTTTTTTTAATATGAGCTAAGCTTATATGTATAAATTCGCTTAAATTTTTTTTTCGCTCATGCTGGTTTTTCGACAAATTTTATAAAAAACTGTAAAAATTAGTAGCAATAGTTTAATTTTTAATGATAAATAATAACTTTTATTTAAACAGAAACATGTTTTGAATTTTTGCAAAATCTCCATACAAAGGGCAGCAGTACATATAGAAGCCATTAGCAGCCAAATTTCCTTTCACTACTATAATACAACAAGCACCATAATAAGCCAATTACATAACATAGTTAAAGCACCAAGCAGTGCAGCAAATCATATGCAGTTTAAGCAAAAAAAAAAAAACTTATGAAAGTGCATACTGAAGTAAAAAAAAAAATTAAGAAAAAATTACTAAATGAAATTAGCTTAATTGAATGTTATCAGAAACCTAATGCTGAAATAATTTTTTTGTATATATTTTCTTTTTCTATAATATTTTACTATGTCTCAATAGTGATATGTACTTGAATGTGTATACATTTTTTTATGTTTGTCTGTTTTTCATACATCAGTGTGTTTGTATGTATAGATATCGTATTAGTTGTGTGTAATTCAGCAGTTAAGTCTCTATTGTGCATAAGAAATGCTTGAAATAATACACATGTAGTATTTACGCATACTAGTTCAATTTGTAGCATTGTATTAGTGTTAGTTGAGTTTTATTTACCAAAAATTATAAATATACTTGAAGCATATAGTTTAAGGACAAATTAATTAAACAACTATATTTAAGTGGAAATAAATGAAATGAGAAAAATTACTCGAAAATATCAGAGTGTGAAAAAAATACAAAAGAAATAGAAAATTTTGAAAAACATTCATTTAGTTGTTTATTGCAAAAAAAAAAAATAAATGAAATAAAATGGTTTAACAAAAACAACACATACATTTCTAAACACTTAGCTGTTTTTGCAAAACATTTCTCATTGCTAAAATGGTAAAAGATATCTAGTGATTTAACTTATAAGCGTTTGTAGTTGTACGAAATAGTTGTACTCACACCCACACACATACAAGTACTGTACTGTAAATATTACCACAAATTAGACACATACATGCATAGTGTAAACATAAACTAGCGCATACAAACAGAAATCCTATATTTTCACAAGTTCGAATTTAATTACATTAATCAACAGTTATAAGCGTAACAGATTACGTTTAAAATACAAAAATAATTAATTTAAAATAAATGAAATATTTAGTTGTAAGTTTGAAGAATTATAACATAAATACATACATATGCATATGTGTATGTCTGTCTGTAACTAAGTATATATGTATGTAGTTTTCAGCAAAATGTTGATTAGCAAAAACGTATTCAATACAAGGCGCAAAAATAAAAATAAATATTGTAATCATATATAGTTGTACAACAACTGCTATTCCCAAGTCCCTCCAAGCCAGCGCTTTTTGTAGAAGAGGCGCTTGAGATTGCTACAAAGTGAATTGATTAATTTTATAACGGCATATATTGCATTAAACGATTTAAATGAAACGGTAAAGTTATGCACAGAAATTGTTTAAGTGAAAAATCTCAAAAGCGTAAAAAGTAGTAAAATTTTGAAAATAAAGATATGAGCTGAAAGAGAAAGTAAAAGTGGGAGAAAAAAATTAATTATTTAATTAAAATTTAAAATTTTGGAGAAGTAAAAAATTAAAAGAAAAAGCAAAATTAAAAATTGCAAAATTAAAATTAAAAATCTACAATTATTGTTTCGAAAAAAGTACAAGATTAAATAATAATTTCCTGCAATAAAATGAAGGCAAATCACTGTACTGCGCATCAAATAAATAATGTTAACTCTACTGCGCACGCGTACCGCTCTGCTTATATAACGTAGTTGTATGTAGCGTTTAAATACACTCGCGCTAATATGAAAGCATACTTATGTAGATCTAAAATTATGTAAGCACACAAATTAAAGCTATATCTGTATGTATGTAAATATTAAACTACAAGAAATGTAAGTTTTTATGTATGTTGTGTAAGCCCTTATTATTTTTAATCCTTTCGTCAAATTTTACTGCATTGTTAAGCAAAAACCATGGAATAGCAATGAAGTTACACAAAAATAAATAAATAAAACTTATATGAATTAATAATTTATTTAGAATGTTTGCAAACTATAGCGAGAAACAAGGAAACAGTTTTAGAGATTAATGTAAAAAACAACAAAATAATAAATGAAACTTTTATTGCAAAACCTACCACTTTAATATGTTTGTTTCATTTAATTTGTGTGCGCATATGCTACTAGTAAAAATATGCTTTGTAGTCTATCCACAAGGTTCCTTGCCAATGCCTTAATCAGTTACTGAACATTGTTATAAATATATATATATATATATATATATTTTTTTGAAAATAACTTTTTATTAATTTTAGATTAAAACCAGCTTATTATTGCTCAACAAAATGAAAATAAATCTGAAACGTTTGTTTACTTCGCTTCAAAGAGGATTTGCTGTACAAAATTTATAAAATTGAAGCCTATCCGATCTTCTGAAATGAAGGCAAATAATTACACAACTGAAGAGTACAATATCGAAAGTTTTAATACTGTTAGTCGAGGGCTTGTAGTACATTAGAACAATTGAAATGTTTTCTTGTTTTTGGCAAACGAATTATTTTATTAAAATATGTAGAAAAACAGCAGCGAATACAAGTTGTTGCGAGAGTATATTTTAAGGACCACACTAGGCTGTCTTGTGATGATAAAAGGTGATTTTTAGCCATTACAAAAAAAAAAAAAAAAACTTTTGTATCTATTGTTTTAAAATTTAAGAGTATTTGTAAACTTATTTTAAAATTAAAGAGTACTTGAAAAATTTAATATTTTCGAGTTACACGCGATCTCTAACGGCGCTAAAAAGGTTCATACAGAGACCATCGGTTGAAAACGATTCCAAAATTAAGTTTAATCTTAACCAAAAGATTGGTTGGTTTTGGTCTGCGAATTGATTTGATAAATGTGGTATGGGAATTTATGTATACTACAGAGACATATAAAAACTGTTAAACATTTGACAGCAAGTAATCACACAAGCAAATTTGAAAAATTTAGAAAGGCGTTTAAAGATAAACTTATTAAGCTGATTGAACTGAGCGGCTACACTGTAACAGACTGTAACTCGATTTTATTTCTATTGCATTGTCTTGATGCAACCATTCAGCACCTAAGCGGTTGATACTAGTTATTAGTAGCCAAATATGGGCAGTTAAAATATCAAGGATTTCATGTCTGCGACGCTCACCATTGTTGGAAACTTTGGCGATATCTTTAGTAATCTTTTAGGTGTACAAAGCATTCGAGAAACTACAAGTATCTTAATACCGTTCTGGTAGGCAAAGGTGCATTGGGCTACTTAAGATTCGTATATACCAATTAAATCAGAAATATTTCCACATAATTTTTGAGACATTTTTCAATGCATGTAAATATGCGAACAATATATTATTGCTTTGACAGTTGGTTTGACAGCTATCCCTTTAACCTATGCTTCTCTCAAAACCATTTTGTTTTGTGTATCATGTTTAAAGCTTAATTGAAGTGTTATCTCCTCTGAGGTATATCCTTGCATATGATAACATATCTTCTCTGACTCTCTTAAATAAACAACTAAACTTCAAATATTTTTGTACACATGCATTTGTGTTCTCATTTTTATTTGTGGCATTTATTCACTGGGTAAAAATATGCAATTTATATTAGTTTGTATATATTGTAGTATATTTAAGTATATTCATTATAAAATGTATTTAAAATATTACAAAAATCGTAAGCTAAAATTTCGTTTCATATATTTCATCGGTTGTATAAAATGAAATTATTTTATAAAGAAAGTAAATATAATAAAGTCGTTCGATAAACTACACATGCAAAATAAATATTGCGAAGATAAAAAAGTATAGAAATAATAGAAATTTACAAAGTTTGGATAAAAATTGAACTAAGAGATAGTAGAGAGGAAAGTAGTTTGAAACGTAAATCTACGCTAAGAGATAGGAAGAGCGCGTTAGATAGAACGATAGAGAGAATGTAAGATGTATGTCTTGTAGCATATTTTTAGGCAGTTAAGATTTTATACATATGCAATGATAGGAAATCATAACGTGGAAGACATAAAAGCAGTGTGTGGCGAATGCATAATAATTGATTATTAAGATACTTATGTATTACATTATTAAAAGCTAGAAGTACTTAAGTCTTTGAGTTTCTACTTCCGTTTTACTTAACTTACATACATATATTTAAAATAATTTTTTTTCGATAGTTCACTATACTTCCGATATTTGTAGGGCCCATAGGAATCTATATGCATATATTTACACACTACAGTGCATACCAATATTAGATGTACGCCTGCAGTCACTTGCAAGGCAACTAAGTATATGTGTGTAGTGGTAGTAGGTTCTCTTTAATATTATTTACAATTAATTTTAATTAGTATTGGCTGTAGGCTGTAGGCTGTACGCTCTTACGCTAAGCGTAAGGATCGTATGTGCAATATATTGGTTGCGCACATTTTATTTTGTGTTTATATTCCCTTTTGCTGTAACGTCATAATAACTTATTGTTAATTAAATAGCTTTGCTCAAAAGTGTTTGCCTTTTGTTGCGTTTTTCAGCAACGTGGTCACTCATTTGTTTCCTTCAATCGCTACTTTTTCCCGTTTATACGTATATAAGTTAATTTATATTTTATGGGCTTTCGAGTTAATTTACAGGACGCAATAAATGGTGTTAGATCGGGGAATTTGAAAATGTTCTGTGGGCGTGAGCGTTGCACGCGCACTGGTGCCTGCACAGATGCCTGGCGCGCCTGCGCAAAGTTTCCATTGCCATTTAAGTAGATGCCACACTGGGAGTTGCACACTTCGTCGCGTAGAATGGCTTCTTTCGGCCATTGCGAATCAGTTGGCCGCAGTCGGTGATGCGCAGTGAAGCACATTGTGGCTGTAAGTTGAGAAGAAAATAAGTTTCTGCTAAAAATATCTAAAATATTTAATAATTACCCTTCGCTGGAGCATACACAGCTGGTGCATGGTGAGGGGAATGCAGATTCACCAACGCGCACATGTCTGTTGCCAATCTGACAACCTTGTACATTTTCACGCCATTGGCTCAAATCGATTTGGGGCATGGAGGAGCAGGGCACACGTGGATTGCTGGAAATAGATTATAATATTGTCAATATATATACAATACATACCTAAACAACAATTTTCAAAATTTATCAAAAATCCATTAAAAAATGTATTCAACTGCAGAAATCAAAAATTAGTACCAATGTAAGTGGTTCTATCCATTGTAGGGTAAAACATGCTGCCCAACATTATTAGCATTAATACTAAAATCAAAATACAAAAATGTTGCTCAACAATGTTGCTAGATATAATTATTTTTAGATAAATCATTTTAATGTAGCGACAAGAAAAATATGAAAACTAACATATAAGTACAAATGTAACATATGTTGCTAGCAACATGCATCTAAACACAAAATGCATATAAAACGTTGAATTCTTTGTGTAAAAAACGTTGTTAGCAACATGAATCTTTGGTAAAATTATATATAAAATGTTGTTAGCAACATGAATCTAAACATTTTAGTAAAATTGTATATAACATGTTGTTAGCAACATGAATCTAAACATTTTAGTAAAATTGTATATAACATGTTGTTAGCAACATGAATCTAAACATTTTAGTAAAATTGTATATAAAATGTTGTTAGCAACATGAATCTAAACATTTTAGTAAAATTGTATATAAAATGTTGTTAGCAACATGTTTCTAAGCATTTGCAATTAATAACAAAGTCTAAATCCAATTTATGCTGCTGAAGAGACATTGGAAAATCTATTCGCTTCTTTCTATTTAATAGTAGTGAACCTAAGTTTAAGCTATTATCAGAACTCATACACATACCTATGTGTTGATTTCTACAAATAACTCTAAGCCATTTTGATACTCACAGGAAATTGCTAGGCAGGTCGAAAGCAGCACGTTGTATGTCACCAGGAATCTCCAAGTTTTCGCAAATTATTTTAGACAATGTGACCTTGCGAATTTCAGCCAGTTGTGGCTCAGTAAAACGTACCTCGGGATTAGCGTTCTCATACCTGTGACAAACGAGGATTGCATTAGTTCAATAATGTATGCAAGCCAAAAAGATCGATAAACACTCACCAGAAACGATCACATTTACGCAGCTGACGGAATTGTATGCCGATAATACAAGCCAGTGTTGGACCGACCAAACCACCTTGCAATGGACGTTCAGTCATAGCGCCAGGGAACAGATCGATATCGTCGACGGAAGCATAGATTTTC